GCGGCGGGAGGGGCGCCGAGAACCCGGCCGTGCCTCGCTGCCTCGGCGCCGCGCACCCCGGCGTCCCCAGCCCGGCCCTGCGCGCGAGCGGAAAGGGGGTTCGGGCGAGGCCCGGAAAGGCGCGGCCGAGCCTACCTGCAGTTTCTCACAGTCGCGGTCCCGTGCGGACTACATGCCCAGAGACGCGGACCTCGCAGGGCCGGATGGCTTTAAAAGTAAAAACGCTCTGAAATGACTTCCTCAACCATCTATGGAAGACGAAAAAGAGGCGAGCGACGGCGGGGAAACCCGGAGATCCCGACGGAGGCGACGCAGGCCGGCTTCGTCCCGGCGGAGATACCACCCCTGTCAGTCGGCTCCGGCTACGCCGTGTTTGTTCAATGTACGATTCGGAAAAAAAAGTTGGGGGGCGGGGGAGGGGGAGGAGAAGGCGGGGGCCTGGGGAGCAAAGCAGGAAGGAAGTTGTGAGCCGGTCTGGGGTTGAACTCAGCGGAACAAGTTTTTCTTTTCTTCTTCTTCTTTTTTTTTTTTTTTCTACTGCTTGGCAAGACCGAGGGAGGGAAACACTTAAAAAAAAAAAAAGTTTCCATTGTTAGCTAACAAGAAAAAAAAAAAAAGCTTTTTAACTTCTGCGGGTTAAAGATACACGATGCATTTTCCACTGCTCCATCAAGGCCTCCTAATAATGTCTAGCTTTATGAAACTACTTTTCAAAAAATGTTTTCAATAAAATTTAGAGTGTGCGGTTCTAAAAGCAGCTTCTGAGGTGGGAGCCCCCGCGCTCTGGGGGACACACGCCCAGCAGTTGAGATGGCCGGCAGGACATTTTTAACATTTGAAACTTTTTAACATTTAAAACTGGCTAAAATCGTTATGTACACGCGGCTTGTGTCCTTTCACACGAATATGCAAATTTGAAGAAGATACCTCATGGGCGCTTTGCCGGGGTGCAGACTGACGTGCAGCAGGCAGTGTTTTGGAAGACTTCTTGGGCTGAGAGCAGCTGCAGGTTCTGCAGTTCACCCAATAGCTGTGTAGACTCGCCGTTGCACTGCCTGTGTATCTACAAATGTACACAGCAAGTGGAACATTCGCATATCTGTGCGTTTAATTAGCATAGTATTGGAACTAGGAAGGCCTGATCATTTTCTGAACCCCACTTATCCTCCAGGACCCCGAGGATATTTTCAAGTTATTTCTCCCCCATCACGAGCCCAAATAGGGAAGGAGCATCAGCCGACAATGAATGGGCAGAGCATCCTACTTCCTAGATTAGATGCAGCACCGCAAGTGTGCTTTGCATAATTCCCTAACCCTTAAACTGCAGAATTTACTGGAAACAGGGAAAACACAGCTGCAAGGTTGAGGAGATTTAAAAATCCAAAGCCTCAATCAGTCCTTATCTCCTGATGAGCTAAAACTCAGATGGAAATTTTGACTTTGCTTGTAGCAAACAGATCTCTCACTTGTTTATGTAACAGTACTGTCAAGTGAGCACCATCCGGCTGTCGATCAGGAAAGGGCTCTAGGCAAACCTGAAACCAAGAGCGCTAGTTCTAGCCAACAGTTCCTGAGGATCAGACCCTGTTGAATCCTTCCTGATTGTATGAGACATGCCATGAACGGATAGAATCTAATCTGTGCCTCCTACCCTATGAAGCGAAATAAAAAGCTGAGAGGGTGCTCAGGGGTCAAGCCAGGCTCCGGGCAACTCCTAAGACAGAGAAGCCAGCCTTGCCCTTTCCCAGCTTGATTCCTTTGGCCAGAGGTGTATCCCGTGTTGCCAACACCCAAGACAGGGTCACAGTAGAAGCCAGTAAAGGACTTAGCAATGCTTACTTTGAGCAAGAAACTTAGTTTTCCCCTCTGGAAGCTTGACTGTCGCCTCAAGGCTAGACGTCATCTGCCTTGCCTAGTTGAGAAACTGGCTTTCTGAACATGCCTTCAGCCTCAAGAATTTTTGGTCTGAAGGTAGCCAGCAGCTGTCAAATGTGACTTGCCTTTAATGGTGGGAACAACTAGATGATAATTCTACCAGTCTAAAACTCTTACCTTCATCAGTAGCACAGGTTGCAGAAAAGATGACACAAACCCTGTGTCTGGAAGCCAGCAGGATATGCTTGCATCCTGAAACAGAATCTAGTTGCCCTACCATGATTTTAAATGAAGATTAAAAATGTTTATATAGCACTTATTTGTTCTAGGCACATTAGGTATAATGTTCTAGACACATTATAAATATTTTTATAGATTTTATCCTCATAAAAAACCTAGGTAGTTATTATCATGAGTCCTATTTTACAGAAATGAATGCAAAAACACCTAAGTAAATTGTCCAAAAATTCCACAGCTGGTAATTGGCAAAACCAGGACCTGAATCTGAGCAGTCTGGGCTTAGAATCCATGCTGTTTCTACCGCTCCCTGTGCTCACTGTCTGCAGCTGTAGGGGAGATTTCCCTAACTTTTCAAGGGTGCCTTTGCCCAGGTTTTGAATGGAATTTTAAAGATCAAAGCTACAAAATTAAGAATGCATACACAACTTAATAAAGAGCATCTACAAAGAAATACAAGCTGACATCATATATGATGAAGAAAGGTTGTACACTAACTCTCCAGGAGCAAAAGCAAGCTTAGATGTCTCTGCTCTTGCTACTTTCAGTCAGCATTGTACCTGAACTCCTGGCCAGTGTAATCTGATGAGAAACTCCAGACCGGAGAGGAAGAAGCAAGACTATCTTTATTCATATGATTATCTGCTATGTAGAAAATACTATGGAGTCTACAGAGAAGCTACCGGAGCTAATAAATGATTTAGCAAATTCACTATTTTGTAGGGGCACCATAAGAAAACACCTCCAACTGGTTGGCTTAAACAACAGAAATCTATTTTCTCACAATTCTGGAGGCTACACGTACAAGACTAAGGCATTGGCAGTGCTGTCCCGTCAGAGGCCTCTCTCCATCCCTCACAGATGACTAATGGTCTTCTCCTGTATCTTCACATGGTTGCCCTGTATGTGTGCCTATGCCACCATCTCCTTGTCTTACAAGGATACCAGTCATTTTGGATTAGGACACACCCTAAGGACCTCATTTAACCATAATTACCCTTTTTTTGTACCAGGAATCGAACTCAGGACCTTGCACTTCCCAGGCAGGTTCTGTGCCACTGAGCTATATCCCTGGCCCCATAATTACCTTTTAATAGACCCTACGTACAAATACTGTCACATACACCTTGGGGCTAGGACTTGATGTATAATTTTTTAAAAAATGTATAAATTTGAGGGGGAACACAATTCAGCTCAGAAAGGAAGATTGCAAGATACAAGATCAATATACCCAAATCAATTTTATTTTCACGCACTAGCAATGAATAATCAGAAATAAAAATTTTAAAGCTAATAGAACTCTTGTGATACCATCAAAAGTTTAGTGATGAATATAGCAAAATTGTTCAATACCTGGAAAGAGAAAACTGCAAAACACCACTGAGAAAAATCAAAGAGGTAAGTAAATTGGTAGATTATGTTCGTGATTGAAGGACTCTATTGTTAAGAAGCCATTCTCCCTAATTTATGTATAGATTCAGTGAGATCACAATCAGTACCATGGCAGGTTTTTATTTTGTTTAATTTACTTTGTTCTTATTTTGTAAAATTAGCTGAGAAATGCAAATTATCTCAAATAGCTGAAACAGTTTTGAAAAAACAAAATGAAAAGGCTAACTCTATCTGATGTCAAGACGTTATAAAACTACAGTCAAGACAGTGTGATATTGACGCAAAGTAGATCAATGGGACAGAATACAGAGTCCAGAAATAGACATGTATACTAGAAAATTGATTTTTTACATAGGGGCAGAAAAATGGAGAAAGAAGTTTTTTGGCAAGTAGTTCCCATAATGTTGACTATATATGAAGAAAGAAGGAGAGAAAAAGAGGAGGGAGGGAAAACTTTGCATATTTTATATCATATACAAGAATTAAAATAACTCATAGATCTAATG